TATATATATATACACACACACATATATATACATATATATGTATATATATATACGTGTATATATATATACACACACACACGCATAAGCATATAAACTTATATATAGTATATATATAAACATATTTATAATCCATACAATGTACGTTGGTGGGATTATAAAATGGTGTGGCCAAAATAGTATGGTCATTCCTCAAAAAGTTTAAAAGGGAGCTACCCTATGATACAGCAATCTCATTTCGGGTTGTATATCCAAAAAAATGGAAAGAAGGGTCCTGAAGAGGTATTTGTACACCCCTGTTCACAGCAGCATAATTCACAACAGCCAAGAGATGGGAACAGCCCTTATCTATCAACAGGTGAGTGGGTACACAAAATGTGGTTTGTCCGTGTAATGAAATGTTGTTATTCAGCCTGAAGAAGAAAGGACGTCCTGCCACCTGCCGCCACGTGGATGGACCCGGAGGACACCGTGCGCAGTGACAGAAGCCAGACACACAAGGGCAACATCCTGTGTGAGCCAACTCACAGGGGGTCCCTGGAGGAGCCCCGTCCACAGAGACCGAGTAGATGGTGGGAGCCCAGGACAGGCCAGGGGACAGGGAGTCGGTGCTTCGTGGGGACTGAGTCTCAGTTTGGGGAGATGGAAAGTTCTGGAGATGGATGGTGGGGGTGGCTGCACAGCAGTGTGCGTTTGCTTAATGCCAGTGAACTGTACTCTCACAAGTGGTTAAAAGGGAACGTTTTGTTATGTATTTTTACCGCAATTACAAATTAATTGACTAAGAAGGACAGTAATGGGGGGCAGGTGGGGTGGAGAGAGTCACAGATGACTCTCCAGAGGACACGATCTGATTTTTGTCCGAAGCCTGTCTGGTGGCTGGTCAGTGGGCCCTGAGGGCGGAGAGCCCTTGCCTCTTTGGCCATATCACCGAGAGCCCCTGGTTTCAAACGCAGTAAGCGTTGACAGTGGAGGGTGCACGGAATATTGCGGGGGGGGATTCTGAGCACAGACACTCTCTCTTGAGCAAGTGTCCGGGCAAGAGGCAACCTGCGGCTGTGAATGTGTGAGGGTGCTTGTTGTCCAAACCAGGAGGCCAATGGGGAGCCACAAAGGGTTGGGAGCCACGGAGGAGGATGAAGTGGGGTTTCTCCAATTGACAACCACATTTCTCCCCGAGGGTCTCCCGCCACGGCAGCCTCACAACATTTTCTATCCCCGACAGCGAACACATTTTTTTCACATCTGCCTCCTCCCACCCCTTGCCGGACTAAGGGAACCGCAGGGCCAGGGCCCGCGACCACAGGACCCGGCTGGACACAGGACCTAAACACACATCTGTAACATGGATCAATGAATGTTCAAGTAAGGAATGTGTCCTCAGTTCTAGGCGGGCGCGGAAAACCGCATGTGATGTGTGCTAACTGGGATAAGACTTTAGTGAGTGAAAACAAGAAATGCGGGCAGGGGTGGATGGGACAACAGGGCATCCTGGACAAATTCTTCCCCGCTTCGTTCCCCTTTTTTATTTAGGGGAAGTTCACATTAACAAAACTGATCATTTTATTTTATTTTTTAAGACTTTATTGTTAAGTAACCTCTACCCCCCACATGGGGCTTGAACTTATGACTCTGAGGTCAAGAATCACATGCTCTACCAACTGAGCCACCCAGGTGCCCCCCCAAATTAATCATTTTAGAAGTGAAAATTCAGCACCTGGGTGGCTCAGTCGGTTAGGCATCCGACTGCAGCTCAGGTCATGATCTCACGGTTTGTGAGTCTGAGCCCCGCATCAGGCTCTCTGCTGACAGCATGGAGCCTGCTTGGGATTCTGATTCTCTCTCCCTCTCTCTCTGCCCCTCCCCCACTTGCAATCTCTCTCTCTCTCTCTCTCTCTCTCTCTCTCTCGCAAACTAAATAAACTTCAATAAATAAATTAATAGGGTGCCTGGGTGGCTCAGTTGGTTAAGCGTTCAACTCTTGATTTCGATTCAGGTCATGATCTCATGGTTCGTGGGTTTGAGCCCCTTGTGGGGCTCTGTGCTGACAGCACAGAGCCTGCTTGGGATTCTCGGTCTCTCCCTCTCTCTCTCTGCCCCTCCTGCATTGGCACTTTCTCTCTCTCTTAAAAATAAACATTAAAAAATTACAAAAAAAAATAATTACTTGATTTTAAAAAGTGAGAATTCAGGGGCATTTGGTACATTCGCTGTTCTGTGCAACCATCACCTCTGTGTAATTCCAGAATATTCTGAAACCAAAAAGAAACCTCGTCTCCATCAGCCATCACCTCCCCCAGCACGCCCTCCCCCTCCCCCGTCCCCCCCGGGCCCCCCCTCCTGGCCGGGGACGAGCCCGTTCTGGACGTTTCGCACACGAGGACTCACACCCCGTGTGGCCTCTCGCGTCCGGTTCCCTCCCTGAGCGTCGCGTGTTCGGGGTCCGCCCGCGGCGCACCTGTGTTCAGGGTCCCTTCCGCGGGGCGCCGGGTGTGGGCGCCTCCCTCCTGCTCCCGGCCGTGGGGATGTGCGCGTACGCGGTGGACACGGTCGCGTCCGCTCACCGGTCAAGGGCACCTGGCTGCCACATTTCTGGGCGTTGTGCTCTGTGCTGCTGTGCAGCGTGTGTTTGTTTTCAATGTGCGTGTTTGGGGACTAGGTTTTTTGAGTGCTGTACTAGTTTTTCAAATGATATAAATCTGTTGCCGCCCATGTTTAAAACTTGGGGAGACGTTACCTAAAAGCTGCCGTCCCAGTCTCTGTATGAACAGTTGGCCACCCTTGGGTCCAGCGGCTGGTGATGGCCACCGACCCTGTGAGCACACGAGGAGCCCCCTCCCAGCCTACTGCCCTCCTCACCTCAGCCACCTGAGGCCCCGAGGCCCCTCATGCAGGGGTCTCTCAACACCTGTCATCGCCAGTAACAGAAGGGTGAGCCCCTGAGAGTGGTCTGACGGCGCGTGCGAGGTGAAGCGAGGGGCCCCCTCTGCGAGAGCCCGCCTGGTCTCCATCCACGCCCGAGGATGGCCTTGGTCATCCATTCAGCAAATATTCACCGAGTACCTACTATATGCCAGACACAGTGCTAGAAACATCGGTGAACAAGGCAGAGATCCCGACCCTGGTGGGAGTGGTGTTCTCAATGGGGGAGACAGACAATTGGAAATAAGTAAATGATATAGCATGATTTAAGTGCTATGGGGGGGGGCGCGGGGGGAGTAGAACAGGGTAGGGGACTAAGAGGTGGTCCGTGTAGTCCTCCGAGGACGGTGGGATATGAACAGTTCTAAAGAGGGGGAAGGGTATTCCAGGCAGCAGGCACAGTCTGTGCAAAGGCCCCGGGGGCAGCACCAGGCCTGCGTGTTGGAGGAACCGAGGGGAGGTCCGCGTGGCCGGAGCAGAGTGGGCAAGAGGGAAACACGGGGGAATGGAAGGGATGCAGGGGATGGGGGCAGGTCGCACAGGGCCTTGGGGACTTCCGTGAGGACTTAGGCTTTCACACGGAGGGAGGTGGGAGCCTCCCAGGGCTGTAGGCATTAGGGGGCGGGACCTGACTCGGGTGCTCACGACCGTCCTCTGGTGGCCGCTGAGGGGAGGGCGGACGGGGGCGGGGCGACGGTGGGACCGCGCGACCTCGGGGACCAGGGTGGGGGAGACCGCCTGAGACGAGGAGACGAGGTGGTGGACGGGGAGGACGCCAGGACCGGGTACAAGTGGGCAGATTTCGGATGTGCTCTGAAAACTCCGGGGAGATTTCCTGATGGAAATGGGCGTGGTAGTCAGACTGAGTCAAGGTCCAGGATTCGGGCCTCTGCACCAGGAAACATGGGGGTACCAGTGCCCGAGGTGGGGATGGGACTGGGCGGCCTGGGGGTGAGAGTTCGCACCTTCAGGGTCTGGAGTTGAGGGTGAGGTCCTGGTGTCGGACCAGGGAGTATCGTCTGCACACAGGGGAGGTGAGCGTACAAGAAGCACAGCCAGAGGGGAACGTTACCCGGGGGGGGGGGGGGGGGGGGGCATCGGGGAGGGTCAGGGGTCCCCGAGGCCGCATGACCAGGGAGTGTCGAGAAGGCAGGAGGGGGACATCTTGGAGCTGTTCGGAGCACGTGGGATGGTGTCCGAGAGAGACTGGAGGCAGGGGCTGCGTCCCCCGAATTCCAGGAACTCTGCCCAAAGGGGCACAAAGGCCAGAAGAGCCGGAGAGGGACAGTGGGACAGGGGTCCAAGGAGCAACGTCGGCGGGCCTGCGGGGCAGAAGCCAGTAGAAAGGGGGACAAAGTGAAGCAGGAGCTAGGGGGATGCAACAGGGAGGCCGACCTCGAGAAAGGGCGAGGGCCCCGCGCCCAGGTTGAGGGCCACCTGCACGGCCGCCAGGGCCGGACCCCGGACCCCGACGAGGGCGCGGCGGGAGCCGGCGGCGCAATGACAGGGGCGGCCGCCAGAGGGCGCAGCCTCCGCCTTCCCCGGGGACGCACTCCGGGGAGGCCCTGGGGAGGGTCTGGCTCCCCGCCCAAGCCACACCCGCCCTCGGGGCTCGGGAGACCGCTGGAATCTGGGTGTCTATCTCCTAGGAAGGGCTCCGAGACCCTCATCGGCTTCTCGGTGCTCCCGGGGACGCCAAGCCCTTACCAAGCTCCCCCCCCCCCCCCCCCCCCCCCCACTCCCGGCCGCCTCCAGGCGGGAGCTGGCACAAGGCCGGCGTGCAGAACGTGGGCAGCCCCCTGGGCACAGGGGCCAGGCGAGGCACAGACAGCGGGGGCGGGGGGCCCTCTGGGGAGGAGCCCTGTCACGCCCACGAGCAGCCCCAGCGGCGCAGGCTCCCCTGCCGCCCGGCTCCCGGTGCCGGAAGGGGGCGGGCGCGGGACGCCCCCGGGCGCCATGTCACCGCGCCTCGGTTGCCGGGTAACCGAGCGGGAAGGAGGGGGTGCAGCCGCGAGAGGCGTGGGTGACACGGGACGGCAGCGCGCTCTGCTTCCAGCAGCCCCCTCCCCAGGCCTTAGGGCTGAGGGGGCGTCATCCCACGCCCCCACCAGGTCCCGAGATTCAGGGCCCCACTGCCTCGCTTTCTGCAGCGGGACGCTGGTGACCTGGGGGCTACCCTGTTGCGTGGGACACAGAGACTCAGAGAGTCCTCTGGTTGAAGGCCAGAGGTGAGAAAGACCACACAGTCACCAGAGTCGGGTTTAAAAAAGGGCTTGTTTAATTAAATACAAGGAAAAGGCCAGGCAGGGCAGGGTAAGGTGGGGGTGGGGGGTGGGGGGGGCGCCACCTGACAGCACGAGTCCCTTGGGGCCCTCCCCTTGAGATGCCACAGCGAAGTGGCTGGAACCAGGTCCCAGTGACCTCCAGCTCCTTGGGGGAGGAGGGGCACAGGTCTGGCCAGACCCCCGGACACTGGAGAGGGGCCAGGGACGAGTCCTCGGCCTCCCGGGCCCTCAGACCCACACTTCACGTCCTGTGGACAGGCACCAGCCAGGGATGGGACAATCAGGAGGACGTCCATAAAGACATAAAGGAAAATGGGACCCCAGCCTGCCCCCACAGACTAAGGCATCTCACCAACACTGCTGGCAGGGAGGGTTTAAGGGCACGAATGGGCCAGCCCTGCCAAGATCTGCCCAGAGACTGGGCCAGAAGACCCTTCCCAGCCCAGCCCCAAAGGGCTTCCCTGGCCTCCTCCACAGGACCCCAGGCGCCCACCCCCTGATCCTGCCAAGGCAGGTCCAGTCCACACCGCCATCCAGATCCCCAGCCCCCAGTGGGGAGACAGAAGGGTTCCGGAACACACGTGGGTGCCAAAAACCTCCTGCAGCCAACAGTGGGCGATAGGTCCTTTCAGGGTCTTGGGACAGGGACCCTGGGTCTGTCCCATTCTAGGGCACGGCCCTCAGTCCCTACCCAAAATGAAATCCAACCGAAGCCACAGTGGGAAGACACCAGGAGGGGGTCATGGCGCTTACCCCTCCCTACCATAAGCAGGGATCATACAGACCTTCCCCCCAACACCCACACCCCCTGAGGACAATGGACCACCCATGGGGCCCAGATCAAGAAAGGGATTGGCGCCTGAAAAAATATTCTATCCGGTCCAAAAAAAGCGAGCTATCCCATGGGGTTCAGGGGTCAGCCCTCACGCTTCCTGCCCTTGCAAAGCAGGACCTCAACCGCTGGTCCAGGGGCACCTGCAGGGAAGGGCTGCCCGATGCTCAATAGACTGGTCATGGTCCCAAACAGGAGGGATTGATTGTCATGTGATGCTATGGAAGGCCAATGCTGGGGACTCTACCCCGAAGGGAGCAGTCCTCACTCACACACTCACACACCCACCCAGAGGGGGGCCGCTCACTGCCCCCCTCCTTCCTACCAGCAGAGACAGAGGAAAATAAATAAGCAGGCATCTGCCCCAGCCCGTGTTATCCACCTTCCCCAAACGAGAGTCAAAATGCTCTTTGGAAGAACCCCTTTCTCTCCCTCCCTACCCCAGTTTTAGGAGCAAAACCTGGACCCTACTGCCTCCCCCCTCCCGGCCTTCCCCCTCCCCACCCTGCCCCCACTGCTGGGGAGCCGGGTGGCAGGGCAGAATCTGTGGACACCTGAGATTGAATACCCGGATGGGGGCGGCTGGAGCCGCACCCCGATTCCCTGAACGTCTCCAATGGCTTTCAGTGGGGTGGGGGGCCCCGGGCGGGGTGGGGGTGGGGCCGCGGGAACCCCCGGTTCATCTATGGCTCTTTGCACACATCATCCCAACCTGGAGAGGAGGGCTGGGGGGCCAAGTCTGAGCACTGGTTACGTGCCCCTTTCCTGGGCCACTCCCCCCAGACCCACCCTCTCCGAAGCAGGGAGGTGGCGATGGGGGGAGGGGAGCGCCGGCCGGCTGCCCACCTGGGGTTCCTGTTTAACACATAGGAAGAGAGTTATCCGACATGGCTATTTACACACACGGGGCCCCAGCCACCCCTCCCAAGGGCCACCCCCCCTCCCCCCGCCCAGTGTCGGGGACACCGGCTGTCGGTCCGTGGCCCGCCCCGGGCTGTGGACAGCAGGCGTTTTGCTGGTGCTCCAGGCCCAGGCCCAGCAGGGGTGCGGCAGGGTGGGCTGGACTAGGGCCCTTACAGGCCAGAGGGGGCCGGGCTGGGCGCGGGGCTGGGCGCGGGGCTGCCCGCCAGACTGCAGGGCAGCGAGTCGCTGGGCGAGGTGCTGCGGGCGCCCGGGCGCCGGAGCAGTTCCGGGCGGAAGCCGGGGTGGCGGCGCGCGTGCTTGGTCAGGTGGTCGCTCCGGGTGAAGCGCTTGGAGCAGAGGGGGCAGGGAAAGCGCTTCTCGCCGGTGTGCGTCCGGTGGTGGCGCGCCAGCTCGTCGGAGCGCGCGAACTTCTTGTCGCAGCCAGGCCAGTCACAGGCAAAGGGGCGTTCACCTGGGCAGAGGAGGCAGAGGGCAGACAGCGTGGTCAGTGGGGGGGGGGGGGGGGGGGGGGGGGGGGGCGGCCCAACCCGCCCCCCCCCGCCCCCCTTTCTAGAGGCTGAACTCCGGGCGTGAATTGAACACGTGGAAATGTGCAGAGGAAAGCCCCACTCACTTCAAGAACCCCTAATTAGTATTCCTGCCCTTTCTTTCCTATGAACTCGTAGTAATTCCACGAGCAGTTTCCGTGCGTTAAAAGAAGACCGTGCGGAGCCCGAGCCCTTCCAGGCCCGCCCCCGCGGCACCACCGCACCGCCTCCGTGACATCCGTGACAGGGTCTCGCGGTGCACGAGCCACACACACGTGCGCGCCTGCTCGGAACGCATGCGGGGTTTTGCAGGGGCTTCTCCTCCCGATGCAAATGGATCCCGCCGTCCCCACCTCCACCTCCGCTCTCCTTTGGAGTTTACCGGAGGCTCTCAGGTGTTCACAACCCGTTGGCCCCCTCCTTTTGAAAATGACCACCCCGGACGCAAAGTCGGTGTGGGGGTGCCTGGGCGGATTCCCGTGGCCCAACGACCCACTGACCCTTGTGGCCCCTCTATGGATGGAGAACACGTGAAGGGCCTCTAAGGCCACCTGCAGCCCCACACAGGGGCAGAGGCAGGAGAAGGGCACGAGGCCCAGGCACAGACGGCCGCCGGGAAGGGGAGGGCCTGGAGGCCACGGCCACTGGCCTCACCCCGCCCCCGCCCCCGCGGAACAGACCGTGAGGGGAGGGGCGGGCCGCCACCCTGCAACTTCCTCTGCAGACCCCTCCCACCTCCCCGGCTGGCCTCGCCCATCCTGCCGAGAACCGAAACGGCGCTGCCAGCCCCGAGCGCCGGTCCCCACCCACCCCTCGCGTCTGGGGTCTCAGCCCCAGAACGCTTCAGCCCGACCCCCAGCGAGTATTGTCCGCATCTCCCCGGCCGACCCGGGAGCGCCGAGGGCCCCACCTCTACGCAGGGTCCACCGGGGACCCCGCCACGCCCCAGGCCAAGGGGTGGTAAGCATCCTGGAGCTTGCACCCTTGCGCCCCGCGCCCGGCACCTGGAACCCTGGACTCCCCAAGCGTTGCTCTGTCCACGAGTTCTGGAGTGTGTGTGTGGTGGGGGTGTGGACAGAATGTGGACACCGATCCGTGATGCCCGCACCCCTGTGCTATACCCTTTGTGGCACTGGATGGAGCCCCACATAGGAAGGCAGAGCGCTGGAATTGGGGGAGGCCACAGAGCGGTCAGGGTGGTCACATCCTGGGTTACATGCTGGCCCTGCAGTGACCCAGGCTGACCTTGTCTCAGGGAACACACCCAGAAGAAGGTACACGGTCTAGGATCAGAGAAAGGCTCCCCAAACAGGACCGATGGTGGAGGTAACCGGGAGCCAGCAGGAGGGCCCACGGGACAGACCTGTGGCCGTGGGGGGAACAGGGTAGGCCAGGAACATCTCTGCTCTGAAAGCTAAGGGACTGTCCCGGGGACAACCGCTGGGGAGGGGTGGGGGAGGGGAGTAGGGGTCAGAAGAGGCAGAGGGGCTCCTGCCATCTCCCAGGGCCCAGGAAAGAGCGGGACCAAAACCTCCCCTCCCCCACCCCTTCTTCCTGGCTACTACCAGCACCAAAGGAGGAGGTGGAGTCCAGCGGTCCCCCCAAGAAGATTTCTTGTGGGTTGCCTGTGGCTCAGGCTCACGCCTGGGGCAGCGCATGCCCCCAGGAGACTGTGAATCCAGGTGACTTGTCACCTACCCCTGGGGGGGGAGGGGAGGTTACACAACTATGCCCAAGACCTCGCAGACCCTAAGTCTCTGGGGCTGCACCCTTCCCTGGAACAATCCAGAAGGCAGGGGGAGGGGTCTCAGCAAGGGCATCGTCTACGGGAACCACGGAGCTCAAAACAGCCCGGAAAGGACCCCTACCCCACCTGGATGGCGGAAGGCTTGGATCTGACAGTTCCCCGGGGCTGCAGTCTGGGGGAGGGGAGTCCGCTTTTGGAGGCGGGGCTGCTGGCTTTAGACCAGACCTGGTGCCAGGGGGAGCGGCGCCCCTTCCGAGGGGCGTGCAGTCCTGTCGCCATCTTGCAGGGCGCAGGCGGGGCGGAGGGGGGGGCGGGCATCCCGCTGCTGGCGCGCCCCGCAGTTGGCTCACTTCCCCATTTCGGGCGGCGGGACTAGTACCCGCCTCCCAGCCTCCCCTCCTCCGGCAGTTCTACTTTGCGATGAGCAGGTTGCAAGAGCGGTGCCAGCGCCCACTGGGGCAGGACACATGCAGCCGCCGGGAACACAGCTGCCGCACGTAGCTCGGTGGCGGCGGGGACATCCGCAGCCCAGCCGGCCTCGCTCACGTGGTCCCGCTCCCTCTAGGGCGGGGGGGGGGGGGGGCCGGGGTCGACTTGCCGCCGGCTGGACGCCCGCCAGCCCCGCCCCACACCCAGTTGCTGGGGCGCTCACGTGCACACGCGGGTGGCGGAGACCTGGGCGCGGAGGCTTCCCGCCGCCCCCACAACGTCGAGCGAATGCCTGCAAGATACCAGGCCCTGTCACCCTCCCACAGCCCACTAGCCAGGAAGTTGGTGGGGAGCAACCGGGAAGCTCAGAGCCGGAGGGGACCCTAGGTACGGCCACCGGCTGCCCCAAAGCAGACTGGAACAGGGACTAGAGGAAGATGTGGTGGGCGGGGCCCTGGTGGACATAACCTTTTGACTTGGGCTGGGGTGACCTCGGGACAGTTGGGGCCACCACAGTGCCGTGCAGGCTCAGAAAAACGGAGGCCAAGAGGTCCTGAGACCTGATACAGGACAGAGCAAAGGTGGTCCCTGAGCCAGGACGGCTTGGCCTGCGTGGGGTGGGTGCCCCACCTCCCCCCCCCCCCCCCCCCCCCCCCGCAGGGCCAGGGGCCAAGGACCAGGGCTCTGACAACTAACCTTCACCGTGACCTCCTGAGGTCATCCCTAGGGGTAGGGAGGGGTGTCTGCCAACTGATCGGAACAAACGCCCACCTACCAGGAAGACTGCATGGGGGAGGACAAGTGAGGGAGCACTCTCGCAGAGCTACAGAAGGTGGGGAGCAGCTGAGACTACCTGAAAACGGCCCCTGAGTAGTCCAGAAAGAGCCCAGAGAGCAATTCTGGAAATACAGCAGAAGGGCAGGGGGTCCCCTTCAAGTAGCCATTATGGCTTTACAAAGACCGGCCCACGGGAGGCTTGTCTATTCTGCGATTTTATTTCATAGTTTTTAAGTGATCTCTACACCCAATGTGGGGCTCAATCTCACCCCGAGACGAAGAGTTCCATGCTCCACCTACTGAGCCGGCCAGGTGCCCCGTTCTGGGATTTTATGATTATTATTTCCTTAATTTATTTGAGAAAGGGAGTGCGCAGAAGCGAGGGGGGACAGGGAGGCAGAGGGAAAGCGAGAGAGAATCCCAGGCAGGTTCCGTGCGGTCAGCTCCGGACCTGACACAGGGCTCCATCCCCGGAACTGTGAGACCACGACCTGAGCTGAGATCAAGAGTCAGACGCTCAACTGACTGAGCCACCAAAACGCCCCATGTTCTGGGATTTTAACCACCCCCGGGCCCTGCCCCCGAAAAGCCAAGGCCTCCCACCTACCCCACCCCACCCCACATCCCAGCTCCTCCCGTAGGGTTCCCCTTTCAAGCACTGTTGTTGCCACGAAAACTAAGGCAGGCATCCCCCAGCCATCTCTCTACCCCTCACCTTGGCCTGCATGGTACCGGGCAGCAAATCCCATCAGTAGCGCCTTCACAGTATCTCCAGACCCCACCCTGGCTCTAGACTCCAGCTCCTGCCTGGACTGGTGCAGTAGCCCATAGGCTTGGGGCTGAGCCGCCCAGTCCGGGCTCTGCCCTCCGAACTCCCAGAGCGACTCCCTGATCCAGGATCAAAGCCGAAAGTGTTTACCTTTTACCCCGCTGGTGCACTTCACAGTCCCCTTTCTTAGCTTCAATAACCTTGTGCTTAGCATCTCCTAGGTGTGATATCTGCCCCCTCACCTGACTGCAAAGCTGAGGGCACAGGCCTGGCATGCCATGGGCACCTAACGCATCTGTGGAGAGAGTCTACGGCTGGGAGAGCTCCCAGCCAAGCTTGGGCTGCTGGCTTAACTGTTGGTTCATCATGCGGTTCACCCCTCCTCCCCGCCCTGCCCCCACCCCCCCCAGGGGGGGGCTCCCACTACCATTTGTTTAAAGGGCCAACCACGTGCAGCCCCTCATCCCCCCTTCCTCCTTTAAGACCCACACTGCCATCACCCGCTTGGCACCCAGACGGGCATCCTTGGCATGGGGGCTCTTGGTGCCTGCGGATGAGAGGGTAACACCGCCCCCAGCCACCCCCCCACCCCCCCAGCATGTGTGATGGGGAGAACAGTGCTGGGCAAGGGTGACAGTGAGGGCCGGCCCTCCAGCCCTCACTCCCCTGGCGGCCGGCTCCTGGGACTGGTATCACTTGCCCGCTCCCAGGCCATCTGGGCCACGTTTATCAGGGAGCCTGGGCGGAGGTGGTTATCGCCCCCCACAATGTTGGGGGCCCTCCCGCACTCCCCAGTTATAGCACGGGCACCTAAAGTCAGTTCCAGCTGCTCTCTGCACCCTGCCTGCTACAGGAGGGAGTTCACAGGCCACCCCCACCCCCTCCGGCCTGGCAGTGTCCTACCCTGCCCCCTATAAGCCACCAGTCTCCTGAACCCCACCTGTCCTTAAAGGAGCTCACAGCTCTGCCAGGGGGAGAGGGTGGGGTCTACGTCGGCTCAGCCCTGGGAGGACGATGCCTGCTTCCCCTCCTGGCCTCAGTTTCCCCATCTGCTTCTCCCCTGGGCGGGGGGGGGGGCTCTTCAGCAAAGAATACCACCTCTGCTGCCCTGCCCCCCTTTGGGCTGCTCAGTCAGAAAAACTAGGGTTCACCCTAGCCACCTCCTACTCTCTGGGTCCTGGGGCTTCTTACTTGGCCCCGGT